GTGGTCATGCCGAAGACCCGGGTTCGATTCCCCACGTTTGAAACCCATTTCTGGTGTGATATTGCTGGAATATTGCTGAAGCGGCGTAAAACCAGACTCACTCACTCCGTCAACGTCTGATGACATTTGTTTCACTCTATAATTATGTAATCTTCAAAAACCAAAATAAATGTCCGTATAGAATTTTCTGTCATGGGGGAAATATTTTCAAGTTAGAAATATGTATGCACGGTAGGGATACTGGTGTATGAGTGAGTGATGTTTAGTTTCACACCGCTTTTATCAATATTCCAGCAATATCACGGCGGGGGACACCAGAAATGAGCTTCACACACATTTTACCCAAGTAGGGAATCGAATCCAGGTCTTCGGCGTGACGAGCGAACGCTTTAACCACTAGGCCACCCCACCACCCCTATTGCCCTTAACGGTAAGGAGGATGGGGGTTGGGGGTTGGGGTGGACATTAGTAAAGGAGAAATCGATACTGATCTGTTTATTCATCCGAGTGATCCATCTTGTCGCATCAACTAGGACAATTACAGCCAAGCGGCAAATACATTTGCCATGCTTTCTCAGTTAACCTTCAAAATAACTCAGTTCAAGTTATATTTACACACATCGATCTTTTGGCCTGTGCCTTGATAAAAGGTAAATGGATTTTGTTATTGTTTTATTGTTTGTTTATCTATGAAACGCTTGCTAACATGACCTGTTAGACATTCAATCAGTTAATACTGCACCCTCCATGTTGTCATCAAAACAGACGCGAAAAAATAATGAGAGTTATATATGTAGATAAATGTTACAAGAGTTCAAGAAAGTTTCCAAAACTGTTTTCTGTTAAACTTCTTCCAACATTTTGCTCTTCCGACTCAACATTTTGACCTCTTCATTTACCCATTTAATCCATATGGGGAATCGAACCCAGGTCTTCGGCGTGACGAGTGAACGCTTTAACCACTGGGCCACCCCACCGCCCCCGGTGTATGAATGACTGACTAACGCATTCGCAGACCTTCATCAGGTGCATGTATTCCAACCAGGTTCCCGATCCACAAAGCGTTCGTAAAGTTACGACCTGTCGTAACTTTAAGTTTGTCATAGGCTTACGAATGTCTGTGCTACGAACGTTTTGTGGACCTAGGTCTCCTTTCACGAAGCAACCTTTACTAAGGTTAACCTTAACTCCCATTCTTTAACACTGCAGGTTACATTAGTAACTTACGATCACCTTAGTGCTTTGTGAAAGGAGGCCCAGGACACCCCGCACACCACAGTTTACTGGACACATTCAAACGTGTCTCCCTGTTACGCCTACGAGCTTGAAACTTGACTATCGCGTACGTATAACACTTTAGAATCTGTATACTACTACACGAATTGTTATTGTTTATTAACCCGGAAATTTAAGCTTAACATGCACATTACTTCCGGCTCACCATAGTTGAAACGGTGTACCTACTGAACTGCCGGTTGGTGAATCTCATTTAGCTTCACATTAGGCCGCCATAAGTTGATCATTTATTTAGTGGAATAGCCGTTTTGAAGTTGGTTATACTTTACACCCTGTACTGGCCCTCCTTGCTAAAGAAGTTAATGTTATATAATATCCTGATTGGATAATAATCAACAATCTTTCGTTCTCGCGCGATTCTCTCTGTGTCCGTTTGTATGTTAATCAGTTGATATTTTTCTGGATTGGAATATGTCAGAAATTTAAAGCGGAAAAACAAGATGGACTGGATTATATATTTGTTGTTCTGTGTCAACAGTAACCAGAGACAGCATATCGAGGTAAATTACAGCTGTCAACGTGGCGCTTATTGATAATAGAAAACTGTGAAAAGAGTTTGTAATTGTCGTGTTTTGGGCCAATGATAACTATTACCACGCGATACAGTGTAATTAAAGTCACCCGCCATCCGCGCTGATTTCCGTCTCGTCCATTTCAATTCGCTTTTGTCATTTTACGTCTTAATCATATCACTGATTTGCCAACGTTTCAGCGGCTCTGCTAAACTCGACTGCACATGATGGGTTATCATTCTGCTCGTTAAGTACGAGTACGCTTTTGTAAGAGGTGTGGTTAAAATGAGTTTAAAGCTGTGTTCAAGAGTAGTTAATCCTTGAAGTTCGAGAAACCCTAGCTCGTAAGAGGTAACTAAAATGTCATCGTATCCCAACTGCCTAGATCGATGTTCATGATTTTGATCACTGGGTTGTCTGGTCCAGACGGTACATACTGGGTTAAAATTGATCTTCAGCAACCCATGCTTGTCGTTAGAGGCGACTGATGGGTACGGGTTGTCAGGCTCGCTGACTTGGTTGACGCATGTGCGTTGATCGATTTTCATGGTGTTGATCACTGGATTGTCTGGTCTGATTATTTATAGCGGCCCTTGGACCCCGACCTCTCTAGCTTTTTCTCTCTCTTGAGGTTGGAAACTGTATATACCTGTACCGATGCAGAGAGTGCAAATACTCCCTGATCAAGCATTCAAGCAAAGAACGGACTGCAATCATTCCTTTAGCCCTTGGGTTTATGTCACTGTGAGTTTGACTACAGGATAAAAATGTTCCAGTTATTTGTCAATCGGTAAAATGTTCAAGCACTGACTCATGGTTTTTCTAAGCGTCCATAAAATCATCTGATTCCGCCTTGTAAAACTACGTTCAGCGGTTCGTGGAATGTGACTCCTTTTAAGTAGTCATTTTATATTAACGTATTAAATAGCATAGTGGAATATGGGACATAATTGTGTCTAAGTGTCTAGGCCAGGAGCATTAGACATGACATTGGAAAAAAATAGTAGAAAGCTGAATTTTTCAGGAAAGCTTCAGAACATCATTGCCATGTACAAGATACAAAGTTCTGCAAATTCTACCTTGTGGCATTTTCAAAATGGCCGCCAATTTCAAGATGGCCGCCAAAATCATTAAAATGATTATGCAAACAGATATTTTGTAAATAATTATGCCATGTGATATATCAAATGAAAGCTCATCTCACAGGGATTCCAAATATATTGATATCATGCCTTGTGCATTTTCAAAATGGCCGCCAATTTCAAAATGGCCACCATTGTCCTTAAAATAATCAAAATAATCTCACGAAAATATTTCTTTTTAATTAACCATACCTTGTGATATATTAAAAGAAAGCCCTTCTCACAAGGAATCTAAATATATTACTTTTAACACCGCACATACATAAGACAATTAAATTTGGCATGATAACCACACATTTTATGCTTGTGCTTTTGGTACCAGACGTCAAAATGGCTACTCATGGTTGGTTAATCAAGACAGCTGTGGTCACCAAATTGATGGTAAATCACTTGTACAATTATCAATGTCATCATTTTTAGTTAGTAAATTTTGAAACTCACTGTAATCTTCACTCTTTGATTGATGTATCAAAAGGTCTTTTTGTCAATCACAACATCTCATTCTTCAATACAGTACATTTTGGCAGGTTGGCAATCCTCGACATCCAGTGCAAAGCAATGTGCACTCAATTCCTGCTCTTCGACAACTGCATGGTCTCCTGCACTCAAACTTGCATCCACAAGATATCATCTTCAAGACTTTCTCTGGAGCAATTGCTCTATCTGTCTCAATAGGAACAAGGACCCCATCCTTGAATTGCCATCCCCACTCTGTTGGTGAAAGCTCATTCCCTTGCCATTGCTGAACCGTATGGTACACACGGTAGCTGTGGAATTTAGCGGCTGCTGAAGTTGGGGGAAGTGATTCCAGTTTGAAACCTGAAGAGGACACAGAGGCTCGATGAATGGACTTGAAGTACATGTTGTTCGTCCAGTGATGTTGAGTCCACAGCTCCATAGAGTTTAAGCATGAACATCTCTCCAACTTGTGCAATGCCATCATTTGAACTACCAAATTGAAGGAAAACATCCAAGCAATCCCAATTGGACCTCTCCTGGAATAGAGCAAGAGCTTTCTTTTCCCCTGATTGTAGATGGCTGATGCTGTATCACAGCCTGTTATTGCATGAACAAACATCAGATGCTGTCATATATTGGGCATGGTTTTCTGTAAAGATCCATGTCATTTGTGGCTTGTGCAATCAACATTACCAACAGGTCCGTGTCGTTCCCCACGACAACAACAGGTGATTGGTTGTCTCTGGCCTTGTTAATTGCAGTTGAAGCAATCAAGCAGTCAGCATCAGCAGGGCTCTGTTGCACAGCTAAATCTTCTCTGGCAAGTCTTCCCTTCAATAATGTTATGAAGCGACCTTTGTTCTTCTTGTTGCTCAGAAAAGGTTTTGATGAAGTTGTTACTTTCATGTCTGGCTCAAAAATGATTTGAGATGATATGTTCGGCTGAGCAGATTTTGTGGAACACGCACTGCCATATCCATCACACACCACTGAAGATGCTGAACCGTAATGTTGAAGCACAAATGACACATAGCTATCACATATCTGGCTGTATGTAGCATCCGTGGGCCAAGGCAAACTTTGTAGCAGGTGGCCACCGTCAATGACATAATGCGCTCCCTTTGGATGGTCATTGTGGACTTGGACTTGTGATTTCAGTTGATTAGCCAGAACACTCTTCATATTCTTTCGCATCATCTTTCGTCAAACAAGGCAGGTGGTTGCTTGGCAAATTCATGAAGTAGGTACAACTTCATCTCTGACTTATCCTCTATCACACAGGTGACTCACATGAATAGCATCACAGAGTTTACTTGGACTGGCTCTCCTCTGATTTTGATTTGATTCTTTTCCTCACTGATACTTATCACCTTATCTTTGCGCTTCAACTTTATGTCAGCAAACATCTGACCTGTCACTGCTGAAGCTGCCTTCATTCCTATAGAAACTGCTTTCCTATGCAGATGAGCGACTCATGCTCTTCATAGGAGAAAGGAGAATGATTTTTCAGCCAATGGAAGAATGTTCCATAGTCCTTGTTGTTTCTCACGATGTTACATAAATGAAGGTCAACATGTTGCTCAGATGTTTGGCCGTGCACTCCTGTGAACCTCTCTAAAGCATCACATATTGGTATGCACTGAGGCATTGCATGGACCCATTTGGCGAGATATGCTGTCAGTTATACCACGACCATGAGCCATGCCACCACAGATCTTCAGCAGTCGCATCAGATCTTGCTCGATCACTTGGTCAGTGAAGTTGCCACTCCAGAATTTGGCAGTTCTACGGATGGTGAAGTGCCCTTGTTCTGTGTAGGCCTTGAACTGATCTGGTGACATAATGTCCTTCAGGTTTTTCATTTCTTCCAGATACAGACGTGCAGATTTGGCAAGATGACCAGCATCATGGAATAAGGGAATCATCTTGCTGACAGACAGCAGATGTAGATTCCAGTCTCCTGTGCGCTCTGCGCGAATGAACTGCTGAATCAATGACACTTGTTCCTAATAGTCTATCCAAAGTCTACCTGTCCTGCTTTTTGATGAGACTTTGATGTTAGTCTTCAAATCATCAACAGTTTCAGCTAGCCGTAGGATATTGTCCTGGTTTTGAGAGTCAAGGGAGCCAATATCGCATTCGCCACCTAACAAACTGCCATGTACGGTACAAAGCTTTTCCACATTCAAAGAATCAAGAACATCTGTTGATTGCAGTAGGATGGACATGATAGCCGCAGATGACAGCAGATGACTTCGAAGTGCACGGGCATAAGCATGGCTTGTCAGCATGTGGATTACAGAATTAGGTGCGTAAACAGTTGCCCAAAGATCTTTCAAGCCGCTTCCACCCATCACATATATAATTGAACCCATGTATGACATGTATTCATGTAAATGAAACCGTCCTAATTTAAGGACAACCCTGTTGAGCTGTGGATGTGCCGATTCCACAATTTCTGCTGCTTTAATGTAGAGGGGCTGGTCAAATGTTACTGGACAAATCCCAAGATGTTGGTTTTCAGCCAACAACTGTACAAACGCTAGAGCAGAGTAGATGGTGTCGGGCCTTCATTGGGTCCTTCATGGGTCCTGGTTGACAAATGGCAAAATCTGAATTTTGCTTCTTTCGTTGTTGTCTCCAGTTACAGTTGACTGCATAAATCTGCTCCATGATGGACGTTGTGAGAGTGGAATATCAAGTGAAAAACTTGCTAGCCATAGATTGTCCAAAGGTTTTGTCAAGCGAAGAACTGGCACAGTTGGTTTGGGTAGTTCAATTGGTCCAATCTTGACAGACTGTAGGCCCGATGTAGAAGGTTTGTGGTATACCTTGACAGGGATCTTTGTGCCCTCAGCTGCTACGTCAGTTGATGTCATGATTTGAGTGGAGCGAGGTATAGATATCTGAATGGGCTCTTTCCTGACTGGCTTCACACATGCAATTCCACCTAAAACATGCCACGTACCAAAGCCAATGGTAGTGCTAACATTGATATCAGCATTGTCAAATATGAAATTGACAAGCTCACCCTCAATATCCAAAAATTTGTCGCCTGAAAGAAGTGCATAATACAAGCGTTGGACCTCTCTATATTCATCAGCAAAGGAAACAGGATATCAACCAATTCTCTGCTTTCATACTTGCGGTTAATGTAAGTGGATATATATTTGACGTCTGGTACCAAAAGCACAAGCATAAAATGTGTGGTTATCATGCCATAATTAATTGTCTTATGTATGTGCGGTGTTAAAAGTAATATGTTTAGATTCCTTGTGAGAAGGGCTTTCTTTTAATATATCACAAGGTATGGTTAATTAAAAAGAAATATTTTCGTGAGATTATTTTGATTATTTGATTGGCGGCCATTTTGAAAATGCCACAAGGTATAATTTGCAGAACTTTGTATCTTGTACATGGCAATGATGTTCTGAAGCTTTCCTGAAAAATTCAGCTTTCTACTATTTTTTTCCAATGTGACCTATTGTTTGTGTCTAATGCTCCTGGCCTATATACCGAAGCACGGCACATTAATACCAGCCTTCCTGTTAAGTTCTGAGGCAACAGTCGAAATTGTAGACAGCTTCCATTGAAACAGAAGTCGACAGGCTTCCAAAATGTTGTGCAACCGCTTTTCTAGTTAAATACATTATTTCCGTGACCATTTGAACTACAGTTTAGTGCATCCACCAGATAGAGGGACTTACGAGATGTTTGGTATAGGAATTAAGTTAAACGTAACTCACACTCGGTGCTCATCTATACACTTCTTGGAGTGGTGGGATCTTGCAAATAAAACATGTACAGTAGACGTAACACGCTATATGGCACAGGTCAGGATAATGAGAAATCAATATCTTATGTGTCCATCACTTGCACTAAGTACAGCCAGCAGGCACCATCTTGGGTAACGACCTTCTGTGTCTAGGTATCCGATATACAATCTCATTTATCTTGGCAACTGGTAGTCTTGATCACGTACTTTGTACACCCCTCTGACACGCTGGCACAGCGTCCACGCGATTTTCTGCCTGATTTTGAGAGTGTGGGTTCGAATTCTGGATTGGACTCAACCTTAAACGTACTAGAATCTGTGGAAGTGTAATCCCAAATATAATATATTGCACACTTGACCACTTTCTAAATGGCTTGTGTGTCCTTAGCTTTCGTCCGTGGGAGCCGTGGCAATTTACACTTTTCAGAGAAGTACACAAAATACGTGATCTTGACCACCAGTTGTGTGATGTCCATTTTTGTGGAAGCCACGGTGGCTGGATCACTGACTGTGTGTGCTGGCGATTAGGTGTTTGACTCTGAGAGCGTGGGTTCGAATCCTGCATAAGACTCAACCGCAACAAAGTACAAGAATCTGACAAAGAGTGATTCTTGTGCACCTTTGTTGGCAACACCTCTCGTCTCTTGGTATCTGACATACCGCACATTTTGTCATGGCGTCTGATTTTCTTGCTTGTATGGGTCACATCAATATATAGCTGCTAACAGTATATAAGACTTGAATATCACACGCACGGCCATGCCTGCTCTTAAAGTCAAACCATCTCATTAGTTTGCAAAATGAAAAACAAAACATTTCTGAGCTGCAAAACGTCTGTTAGCGATGATTCAACTGCGAAGAAGCTTTTGAGTTCTTTAGAAGGTTTGAACTTAATCATAAATGACTTCATATTCATACTTCTCATTCTATTTATTTGCAAATGTCTTTCACATAATTATGCATACAGTAATATATTTTATCAATCTCACACGTTTCTTTCTAAAAGGCGTATAAAATATGACGCAAACATGCATGAATATTCTTCTTTGTACTCCATTATAATTCGATAAAAGATGAAAGGCGTCGACTGTTATTTATCCTGCTATAGAGTACACCTTATACGTCGTAATTGACGGTCGTCTTAAATACTGTATAAATTCCCTTCCTTTCAAACCTACCTTTGGAAACTTTCTTTCATAACTTTAAACCAAGATGACTCATCCACTGCAATTGTTATTGTGTGAAAATGGGTGATTTTAAACTTGTCGAATAATTGAACATATGTTCTGATGTTAACATTCTTTCATGCTGAGCGTTTTTCCCCAAAGATATTCAAACCACAGTATCAGGGCCACAGCAGTCACATACGTATCAGAGGCAGGCGTTGCTGTCCTTGAAGTTATCGGTATCTCTGGACAGAGACAGGCTCAATCCTTGAAAAGTTTAATCGGCAGATGTGCATATATCTAGCAGCAGAGGCAGCGACACCTAGAATTGCATAGGATATCGTTTTTGTCACTGACTCGGGAATAAGATTACCTTCAAAATGTGTACCACCATCTTAGCATAATCGAGCCTTGAATATTGTTATCCCAATCACACATTCCCAATCAAAAATCCCAAGTTGTATGACGCTCTTTGAAATCTTTCAAGAAAGAGCATCTCTCTAGAGATACTGAAGGAAAACGTTCTGTCCTGTAAAACATATGATTTGATAAGAAATAAAACTGATCGGCTCCTTCTGTCAGAAAACACGTGTTAGGTCACATGCGAGTAGTGAGTGTTGTATACGGTTGTAGTGTTTCTGTTATATCGGGAATGCCAGCTTAATGTGGAAGGAAATTGAGGCTGAAGTGAGGCAGATCTTAAAGACTACAATTTTGATTAAATCCACCAGCATCTGGAATTGAACCAATGATCTGCGGTTTTTCTAGGCAGTTGTCTTGTGATTGCCACACGAAGTATCGAGTTTTTATAACCTTGAATTTGTCAGTTTTATTCAATGTCATTCTTCGTTCAATGTCTTCATATTGGACCTGTGTCCATTGCTGTTCCGTTTGTAATATTTCACTAATCTCTTTTTCAAACGGAGTAAATATGTACAATACACCGTGCTCTTATAGATATTGAAACAACTTAATTGAACACAATGTTCTTCAATGACCACATTAATATAGCTCTATTACTAATGAGTGGGGCTTAAAACTACATTCACTCTCACACTCAGTCAATTTGCCGGGTAGTGAAAGTATACCATAAAATTGTTTAAAGTTGTGAAAACCGCCCTGGTATTCAGTCATAAGTTGCGTTATAGTTACACAGAATTGAGTGAATTCCAAATCAATGCATTTAACTGACAACAGACATCCACTAAATGGCTATATGAATTAAGCCTTAATTTAATGCTTTGTGATTGTTAGAGTGCATCAGAACACGTCAAAATCCTGTACATCTTCTATAAGTGCCCGTGTGAGTAACGATGAGTTCTGGCAAAGCAATTCGTTTACATGAAGTCAAGCGTTGCTGATATCATGGGTATTCCTTGAATCACACACAAAATTGGGATTTACGTTCTGAAGAGTGAGCAGTGATTGAATGTTTGTGTCTGGGCGAATGTTTTGCCCACTATCGACAACATCGGACAATTCTCGTGGTTTATCTGTCCTCGTGTAAGGAGACATCACATGTCTTTCTCAACTTGATTTGAAAAGGGGTCATGATGCACATTTTTAATGGAGAAGCTGCAAACGTACCCATTGGTATTGACGTCTACCACAAATGTCATCTTGATCTATGGATGGACCATATTGATCGATTTCCTCTCGTCGTCTCGTGGGCGTACCTACTGTTTGGGTGAAACCAGCTACTGATCCAGTGGACAAATTTAATCAATCTGGGGTACTAAGACAATCTATTTAAAAGGTTACGTTATTGAAAATGAGGGAAGATACAGAACCTTTGACATTTGATCGAACATGTGCACAAGAAGCTCTCACGGAGATGGTTTCTGCTGTTCTCAGATTCTGTTCAATTGGATTTCAGGTAATCAACGTTCTGTTATCTGCATAGTATACATGTTGAGGTAGACTGGACGTAACTCAAATACTCCGTCTCCTGTTGACAATGCCATTTTCTATTGAGACACAGTCACTCACTCTTCTTGCCAGCTTGTATGGGGCTCATGGAGCGGTGAATGATATGGTCCTTTATCGGACCAGGAAGCACACTTTACAATTGAACCAGTTCCTGGACGCCGAAATTCCTGTAAACATTCCATCTGGGAAAGCTGTTCAATTTTTCGTGACATCTAATTTGTCCAGATCGATTTTATCGAAAACATTTCGTGCTTATCGTCAGTATTTATGAAGAAAACATTTGAAAATTGTAAGGTACACTCTTTGTTGTCCTTTTAACTTCATGTCCTGGCGAGCGAGAATGTATATGTAGGTGGCGCTAGTTTTGTAGAAACTACTTACTACTTTCAACAAAGTCAAGGTTATAAATGACAGCCTTTTTTAGAATCAAAGGTTACTATTAATACACTCATAAAATATGTTCACATTTAAGCTATATAATATATAAGCTCCGTGCATCGCCGATCATAACAATATGTTAAAAGTCAAGACCACTACATCTTCAGTAGTGACCCGTGAAGATCCGGGGTAGAATAGGTCTTCAGCAACCCATGTGCTTGCCATAAAAAGGAGACTATCTTGTCGTAAGAGGCGACTAACGGGATCGGGTGGTCAGTTTCGCTGACTTGGTTGACACATGTCATAGGTTCCCAATTGTGCAGATCGATGCTCATGCTGTTGATCACTGGATTGTCTGGTCCAGACTCGATTATTTACAGACCGCCGCCATATAGCTGGAATATTGCTGAGTGCGGCGTAAAACTAAACTCACTCACTCACTCACATCTTCAGTAGTACATGTACTACCCTTTCAAACAACCAATGACCCCAATAATGTCTTCATTTTATGTTTGTTTGTTATCTGGAATTTGCATGCTACTTATGTTCACGTATAGAGCCACGTATTTACATTTACTGGTTAGAAACTTGGCATTTACTGTCTATTAATCGTACTCGGACGCAGTTGCATAATGCATCAGCCCATACTGAGATCAGTAACTTTAGCTAAACCCACCCCTTAGTTCAAAGGATATCCTCACATTTGTCACACACCTCAAAACAGCGCCGACCCTCTCCTCTCACCTGTTTGTTGCACCAGAACACACTAAGCAGAATAGCACAATTGTTTAAAGCATCCCCGCACATGGACTATTTTCACCACTATTCAACACTATGTTGTTATGTTACAGATTCTGCAAGGCGAAACAGAGATGAAAGCATAAGAATGGGTAGCTGGATAAAAATACATCAGGAGAACACGAAAAGGGCCATTGTAATTTATCCTATGATTCTGGTTCTGTCCGTAAATATACATCCGGTTAGAATGATAAAGATATCATGTGCACTTCAAGGTACGACAGTCCTGATCTCCTACAAGAACCCAATACTTTTCTCCTTACTTTGACTTTGAGTATTTCTTTGATCTTTCAGTTGAAGAACACAAGGAGGCCTAAACTAAACTAAAAGACATTGGAAAGGCATTGGAAGGTTTTAAGACATTGTTTGTCGTCAATAAAGCATCAATGTGTTCCGTGTCATCACATAATTAGAAGGACAATTTTTTCTGACACCCAACAATCAAAACATCCTTAGTAGGAACCATTTACTGCTTATAAAACCTTTAGCAACGAGCAAAACACCCCAATTTGCACAAGAATTAATACCCTGAGTTAATACCAGTTCACTGATAATTGCTCATCTTCACTCACCATGAGGAGGAAGAAATATTTTAAAAACAGGAAGCTTTTTTCTCTTCACACAACTTTCTAGCAACAAACAAAATATCAGTCCCAGTTTGCACGAAGACTGAAACCTTGTATTCGATTACGTAATTGCTTTATGCAGCAACTGTGTTCAAGTATCATCCATACTGTATAAATCCCATGTTTGTCAACCCCTCCACACAGTAAGCATTGTCAACACATTATAAATGATTGAACAAACAATTTGTTGGGGCTGAGTGATAATTTTATCTCATTTGTCCTTGAGCTGCGTGAATGTGTACCTTCAACTTGAAAAAACATCAAAGTCGTGGTGGCCAAACTGTTGAATACAATCATTTCAATTGCAGGAAATGAAGTTATCACAGAAGTAATATCGTCGTTTTGTTGGTCGCTCATTTTGCATAAACGTCAATGCAAGAAAACACAGAAGTCTTAATCATTCTCTGAAACAATATCTGTGTGGCGAAAAGGCCAAAATAGCGATGGAAACTAAACAAATTGACCACTAAAATTCAACGTGAAGTGTAAATTTAAATCGTCGAAATAGCCGTGAAAACTATATGAAAGTATCAATGATGACAGAATGTGTTTGCAATGACGACCCATTTGTCTCATGTGATCACACATTATTTCATGCAAGAGTGTATGCGTCTTCAGAAGGTAACTGTTGTACCCCGAACTGGCGCAGTTCATTAACGGTATAAACATGCCTTACTGGGGTGCCCCATGTGCATGCATTTCACATTATAACTGACACAATCCTTCAAAGATGGAGTAATTCAAAGTCATTCACTATCACAAGCACACATTCCTCAACGGGTGGTCTTCAGCAACCCATGAATGCTTGTCGTTAGAGGCGACTGATGGGATCGTGTGGTCAGGCTCTCTGACTTCGTTGATGCATGTCATCGCACCCCAAATGCGTTGATCGATGCTAATGATATCAGTCACTGGATTGGTCCAGACTTGATTATACAGAGACCGCCGTAACACATCTAAAACATTGGCGTTAAACAAGCAAACATGTACGTGATATCCAGCAGATGGTTGATGAGAGGACTTGATTGCTAAATGTGTTTGGACTGATTGGATTGACACAAATCTAAATACAACTGCAACACGAACAGGTGTTTGTGTTGTGTATATGCTTGGTTATTATTCTTTATACAAATTTATCACAAACGAGGTTTGCCGCCATTATTATCAGTGTATCTGATATTACTCTTACAGTATCGCCTAATGTGGGACGAAAGCCTGATGTGATGTAGATCTGTAATGTGTATCACTTTGGGGAAACAGCGATCACATGTGAAGACATCAAGGATCACAGTCAGTGCAAATCTGTGATTCCAACCAACGACCATAGGATTCTGACTCATTTAAGGGGCGCAACTCCCTGCACAGAAATCGTTCGGGGTTTCTGATTGAATTTGTTTTGACAGGTAGTGACATTAGGTATCGTGTTTGAATTACACAGCTTCTCTGTTTTCACAGAAGAATTACCAGGAATCCATAGTGAGCTGCGAAGTGTCAAGTGTTATGCTCAAAGAATGAGTGAAGTGGGGCTGTAAGAGGCTGGTAGATTCAGACAGACTTCCATTTCCAGTGAGAGAAATAACGCGACAAAACGAGAGGAACGTCTTTTCAAGCGTGCCTCATGAAACGTTTCACTTCATTGATAAGCTAATGTCGTGAGTCGATGGGTTTTGAAAAGATGATAAAGGTAAAGAAAGTTCTGTACAACGTTCTTGGCTGTTTTCAGCAGAATAATTTAATCGTTTTGAACGAGCCGTAAACTCCCCACGATGATTGATTCAATATGACAGTCTCCGTTTGAATGAATCAAATTACTTTAAAAAATTACACAATACACCACTTCCTACATTCCCAGCCAATTACAGGATGAATGAAGGTCTTATAAAGTTACGCCAGTGATATCATGACGTGTGGCAACATAAAGGGTTTTATTTAAATAATGTATGACCCCATGGAGTTGGATGTCCAAAGTTTTTAGGACCAAATCATAGCTCTTTTCAAACTCGCAAATGAAGTTTGGAAACTGGTGACTGCATCTGCATTGTGTTCAACAGATTAGTTTGTGCCCCGAGAGTGTGCTCGGCCGAGCTGTTTTTAACAGCCTATTGAGGTGTCTTAAGATTAAAGATAGTCCAAGTATGTATAATGAAAGCCTGTTAATTCAAGTAGAAAGTATTCTAATGTCCTGACTGAATCTTGTTTCTTCAATGTCATCATATTGGTCCTGTGTCCATTGCTGTTGGGTTTGCAATATTTCACTGATCTAATTTTCAAAAGCAGTAAATATGTGCAACCTACCATGCTCTTATATACTGTGCAGATACATGTTACAATCGAATTGATCAAACGTTTTTATAGACCACATTAATATAACTCTAATACTATGAGTGCAGCGTGAAACTACATCCACTCACATTGATTGACTGAGTATGGCGTTACGCCGCTTTTAGCAATATTCCAGCAATATCACGGTGGGGACACCAGAAATGGGCTTCACACATTGTACCCATGTGGGGATTCGAACCCTGGCCTTCGGCGTGACGAGCCAACGCTTTAACCACCAGGCTACCCTACCGCCACCCACATCCACTCACACACTTAGTCACTCTGCTGGGAAGTGCAAGAAACTGAACAAGTGTTTAAAGTTGCGAAAACCGCACTGGGATTCAGTCATAGGTTGCGTTCATGGTTACACAGAATGAAGTGAATTCCAAATCAATGCATTTAACTGACAACAGACTACTCTGGGAGTCTTAGAGTGCATCACAACACAGGGAAATCCTGTAGAACATCTCCGAACATGGACTACTTCCAACACTATGTTTCACACTATGTTGTTATGTTACAGATTCCGCAAGGAGCAAAAGCGAAACAGGGGTGAAATTCATGAATTCGTAGCTGGAAACGATTACATCAGTCTTGCGAATAGGATCACTTTATTATATCTATATTTCTGCTTCGGTACATTAATAAAATGAACAACATCCGGCTAGAACAATGTAAAACAACATGTGCTATTTCACGGTATGGCATTCTTTGGCCTCAAATTGTTATCTCAAGCCAGAACCCAATTCGTTTCTCCTCTCTTTGACTTTGTACGAGTATTTTTTTCTTTCATCTTTTCAGTTGAACAACACAAAGAGGCCTGCTACATAGACCTTGGAAAGGCATTGGAAGGTTTTGAAATCATGCTAGTCATCAATCCAGTAATAATATGTTCCATGCCATCCAAATTAGCGCATCTTCACAAACCATTAGAAGGGCAAATCCTTTTAAAACCAAACAACCAAACAGTTGTATCTTCAATCACCATTACAAGGAATAAATACTTTTAAAACAAAAACAGCAACCCAAAAAACATTTGGAGGAAGCATTTTCCTCGTCACATAACATTCTAGCAACAAAGAAAATGTCAGTCCTAGTTTGCATGATGTCGGAAACCTGTTCGATTCCGTAATTGCTTTATGTAGTAACTGTGTTCAAGTATCATCCATACTGTGTAGATCACATATTTGTCAACCCCTTCACACAGTAAGCATAGTCAACACATAACAAATGACTGGACTAACAATTGGTTGGAGGGTCTTCACAATAAAGACTCCCATTCCCAAATAAGACTTAATCTACACTAGGAGACCAGCAACGCAGACTCCTTGACCTCAGCGCGACTTTT